ATTAATCATGGGTCTACGTTAAGCCACTTTCCATGCAAGGGTGCAAATATCAGGAGGCACTTGGTAGCGTCTAATCAATAGCACGTCGTTTTCGTCAACCGGTTGCTTCCAAGAAACACGGTGCCCACGAAGAAGACAGCAACGGACCTTTGCTGCTGAGGCTTTGGTGTATGCATTTTGAACTGATTGTTTCGTATCCATCCTCATAGCGATAGGCCCTCCCGCGGCATCTGGAATAGCTGACAAATCAAACTCTTGTTACAGTAGATTTGATCAACTAAGTAGGCAGACTCGCATTAGTGTCTTGCAGAAAAGCCATGCATCTTAGGCCAAGTAAAAAAGATTTGGTTCAGAACCCGTACAATGCTGTACAATACTACTTTGGGGGGGAGTCTTCGGCACTGATACTGGCACGTGGCCCTTCGCGAGCAGAATGCAAGCGAGCCACGCAAACTCACCAATCATTCGCCTGGGCTGCTCGCTTGCGGCTGGCTGTATCTCGAACTGGGTGCGTCATGAGCATGGGGTGGATGAAGGAGCTGGTGGTCCCACTATACAGGACAACAACCCTCGGGAAAAAAAATCTTGTTCATTCAGGACCCTCCAGTCCTTACAAGAGGCCTCTTATTTTCCGAGCCTCCATGCTGGTCTGAAGTAAGCCAACCAATCCATAATTCTCATTGTGCAGGCAGCGTCGCTTGTTGAAGATCATGGTGTGGACTCGCTGTACGCCCGGCAGGATGAAAAGAAGGCCAGTCCTGCAAGGCTTCCATGTGCAAAAAGTCGAGGTCTTAGTACCAAGACCTTCAAGACCACGCAAGGATAGCAGAAGATAACCGTCGACAGGGCTTTCCCTGAAAACTCCGTACAGAATCCCAGCAGCCCCCCCAACGCTCGGTGGAAAATAATGTCTGGTGACCCCGGAAATATCCCTACTCAATCCCTATAGCATCCCTAATTGGAGGATCCCCAAACCCCATGCGTTCCAAACTACCCGATAGCAATACAGCCAGTAATCGTGATAAGAACTATAATGATAGCAATCATCGCAATAATATGTTTTACTAGAAGTAAAATATAAAAGTAACTGAGAAGTCTCATGAATGAAAGTACAAATTTTCCAAGTAGTACTAGTAGTACCAATACGCAATACTAAGACAAATGCTAATAGCAGTACTAGTAAAGATGTTAACAGTTAACAGCAATATAACTTCCAACCTAAACGCGAAAACTCTAGACCGGCGGCCTGAAAATCCAGGTGAGGCGGATGGGAACCCGCGCGAAGGTAAAGACCAGCCTCGGGTGCCAGGAATATGTACTTGTAGAGGTGTTGAGGGTTTAGGGTTTAGGNNGGTTTAGGGCTTTTTGGTTTAGGTTTAGGGTTGGGGGCACTTTATTCATATGATCGTTACTATTGTTGTTGCAAACTCTATTAATATTGTTATTGTGTTTGTTTGCTAGTAGTATTGCTGGGATTAACTTCTTTATGTCCTCTCCGTCTTAGGCTTTTTCGTTTTATCGCGCCTTTTCGCCCGTCCAAGCAGATCGCGGCTTGGGGTTTGGCGTGTAGGGATTGGGGTTTAGGGTCTAGNNTAGGGTTTGGGGTTTAGGGGGCAAGTGTTTAGGGTTGGGACTGATGGTGTGGATTAGGGATGGGGTGATGATTCGAAGGCTTAGTTTAGGGTTTGGGACTCATCTTGGGGAGGGGATGTGCAGGGATGGCTAGCTTACGAGTGGTTTCTTACCTGAACTTGAGGTACAATCTTTTCAAGAAACGGATGGCGCGGGAACTACTACAAGATACTAACTACAGCTCCCACTCTACGCCTGCTAGACACAGGTCTTTCTTAGGATGAAGATGAGCAGAACTTGTGGCACAGCCTGTGGCATGCACACTGCCGGCCCCAAGCCGAAGATGATGCCAACTTAGCTCCTAGGGAAAACTTATGTCAATATATATAT